CTTTTGATCGTTATATACACTCCCACCCCCACTCATTAACAATGAAAGTGACTGGATGACACCCTCTGTATCCCACTGTTGGTAAAGGAAGACGTCGTCTTCTTTTCAGGATCATCAAAACTTCCCATCCACGTCACCGCGCCCATGTGAGACAGGGGGTATCCCCGAACCATTCCCCTCACCACCCCGAACCAAAACCATCGCACTTGGTCGTTGATGGACAGCCAAGGAGCGCCGTAGCCACCACGAGCGCTCGCGCCTCGCCACCCGACCAGGTTGCGCGTTTCGTAACACCACCCTCGTTGAAGAAAGGTACACAAAGGGATTGGCGCTAAGATGCTACTTGGATTTGCCTTACTTCAGGAACCGGGAAAAAAAGAAGGAATATTCCACAAGGAAGGAATATTTGCCCCTAGAAAAGCATCAATGTTTCACCTTGAAACCGCTTTTTCTTCCTGGAATGGTGGCTTCACCGAATGTGAATTTAGTTGGTGGCCTAGACTTGGAGACCATGTCAACCGAAAAAGACATGGACTTGGCGCCTTGTAAAGGTGCCCCCAGAATCCTGAATAATCTCTTAGTCTCGCACCAGATGTTCACCACGTAACAAGTTGAGTCGGTGGAATCGCTTTACGACAGGTGAGAACGGCATGATCGACCCGGTCGTGGTGCATCTTACGCGAGAGAAACTGCCCAGGTTGCTTGGCCCGAGCTTCCGCCACCGGAGTCAAGAGGATGAACAACACCCAATCACTCAATTTGCAACCTGGACCCATCGTCGACTTCAGACTCGCTCACGACGACATCCAGTCGAATCGGACCCGACAGGCGTCCCCTGCCTCTGGCACATCGAGGCCCGAAAGTATCATGACGTCCTGGGAGACTCCGCACACCGCAGGACACGTTTCATGTAGCATGTCGTAGCATGTCGTAGCCCACAAATGGCTGTGAGGTGTGGGATAGTGTGGGAGTACTGGACATGCAGGACTTAAGCCCCTATAGTTGTGTTGTATATATAGAAATGGAAGCAAGACATGGGTCATCGATCAACCGTCTGCCTGGGTAGAACGGTATCTGGGCATAGACGTGAATTGACTGTTTACTACTCATCCCAGTTTATCCAGTCTTGCGACATGGGCACCCCCAACAAGCAGCCATTGTGGAGGCATCTCAACACAAATTCTCACACAGTCATGCCCTCTGGGTTTTGGGGGGGTCACAAAGCCTATTATGCATATAACATTCAATGCTGCCCTTTCTATCCCTATCGCCGTTCGATTCTCCGATGATCCTCCCATCTCCCCCGGGCTCTCCCACCGCCAAGGGCGCCAAGTTGTTGTCTTCGTCCAGACTTGAGACCTGCGGAACAGCTTTGCTGCAGGCTGCAGGTCTTGCGTTTCGTCGAGAGCTCTTCAGGCTCTGCTGCAGCTTGGATGAGATCGGTCTCGGGCGGGAACCAAGACGACTTATGGAGACTGGAACACGACAGTATTCTTGGAGCAGGACCTGTAACATCCTGTAACCGTTTTGGGGGGTCTTCACGTTGTTTTTTTCAGGAGGAGACATGAGGAACCCCCAACAATCCATGTATATATATATATATATATCATAATTTGCCCTCCATTTGTGTGGTTGTATTTTCTTTAAACAAAATGTGTTTAGGCTCAAGATGGGTCTATATTTATTTATTTATATACATATTCAAGTCCGTGAAGTCCCATGAATGGTCTGACATCAGAAAATCCTTTCTCACCTCAACAATACGACAAGACGGTTTGTGTGTGCACCACGGTCATGTTCGTCCCCGGGTGGCACAGGAGACTCGCTTCTTCTCTCTGGGAGATGAGACTCGCGAAGCCGGCGTCTTTCCCATTTCGAGGAGATTCGAGGAGACGGTGTCATGATTCATGATGATCATGGTGCCATTCATGTTTCCCATGCTGGTGAGACAAGACTCACGGGCTCAGCAAAGCAACAAAAAAGGCGAACAGGCGTTTGGAACCTTCTCTGCCAGGTGGCGACATGTCTATATAATGAGAGAATCCGTTGGTCTTGGCCACCGGTCTGTCTTGTAGTTTTCGCGTAGTTTTCACCCCCACAAGACTTTACAGGCTTGAGCCTCAGTCTAGGCCTAGGAACTATGGGATGGCCTCATCCAAAAGCATCCCAATTGAAACGAAATGATCGAACCAACATGTCATTTCTGCTAGTTTAGGTTAGCTGCCAGCAAATACCTGTTGACCACTCTGTTGCAATTTTGAAAGCCTTCAAATGCCTGAAGATAAGAGAAGTTCAAGCTGACACAATTGACACAATCCACTTCTTCTCAGCAGGGCTTTGACCCGCAATCATGTGATGGACACTGGTGACGAGAACAAAACATCCGTGATTGCCAAGTAGGGAAATCTTGACATGTTGTGTGTGTGCGTGTCTTTATATACTCGGGGACCAACCACAAAAACAAATCTGCCCAAGGGTAGCCTCCAGTGCAGCCATTGCAGCTTCTGAGCCTCAGCTTGATGCACCAGGAGCTCTTTGTCAGGACGGCAGATTGCATTTGTGCATGGCATTTGGCTTCCAGGATGCGATTCCCAAAGCCTTCAACTACGCAACGACTATATTAGGTTGCGCCGCTGGCTGGAGTCCGAATTCGCAAAGGTGCGAGTTAAGTAGGGGCTCCTCATTGCTTACTCTATGCTACTTGGAGCTAGAATTTGGTGTGAAGGGACGCATACGTAATATATAGTTGAACAACAAAGAGCTGCGATCCATGCTTCTATTAAATAGCCGCTAGCCAAAGTATATAACTTTCCTCTTCCTTAGGAGGCAAACACGGTCTCTGGTCCTGCAGCTCTCGAATTTGGGGTCATACATTGGACTGAGAAGCTGGATGACAGCACAACTCAACGACACGGTGGTGGATGACCAGCTGTCCTTCCGTCCTTCACACCTCTAATTGTCAGCCCTCTGTTGGGGATTCGTTCCATCAGTTGGTCGATGGAAACAAAAGTCAAAGATCTGAAAGACAGCACTGGTTGGAAGGTGGCCAACAAAAACGTTGTGTCCTGTATCTGAACCCCCACAAACCTGGGTCACACCACCCCGCAGGAACTTGGTATCGGAATTTTTATATGATAATATCATGGGATCGGATACCCTACTCCGAGATGCTGTAGAGGGACTTGGCACCCATCGAACATGTGGAAACATATCACCCCGATACTCTTGGATTGGCTTAAGGAACCGAGAACAAAAGAAACATATGAACATGCAGGAAAAGAAGCAAATCAACCTAAGCAAGCCCAGGTACTCATGTTTGTTGGTTTGGGTTCCATGATGGATCCATGTCTTCCATAAGCCGAATCCATCCATCCGGCCACACGTTTGGAAGATGTACTGTAGACTGTAGACTCTTGATTAATAACCCCCCCATTTGGATTGCAAAACCTCTGAGGTTTATGGATCAAGATTCTACATTCTGCACGGAGATGAATCCAAAAAACCACAGCCCCCTCCCAGGCTCACCCTGGCTCCTCCTCCCTTGTGCTGCACAAGGATTCGCTCGTTCGAGCGCCCCGACGGGCGAAGCCCTGCTGGAGAGCAAGGCTGAAGGCAACATAGGCCACCTGTGGCGGTGGCTTGGAGTCGGTCCCAGCGTCGGAGGGGTTGGGAGGCACTGCAGCTGCAGGTCCCAGCACTGGGAAGGTCCCACTGCAGGGACCGGTGGTGGAAGGACGCTTCAAACACATGGAGGATTCTAGACTGTCACAGGCTTTATGCGAACAGCTTCTTTATGAGACAGCGGCAACTGGGTGTGTCACTGTAGGTCCGTTAAAGGCTATCTCCAGAAAAGAAGAATAGCTTGGAAGAAGCTGCTACCCCGACGCAGCTTAGACTGAGAGCGTTTCGAAAGGAAGGCATGGAAAAGGTGACGGTCGAGTTGCTAGCCTTTTGATTGTTGACCGGCTGTTTCCAGGCGGAATGTTCAGGGGATTGATCGGAATTTGGGATCTTCTGGGGTTCCTGTCCTTGAAGGATTACCATGCCATAAAGCGATTGAAAGCATGATATAGCATGATTATGCATGATGCATGGCATAGCCCTGAAGAATTCTCGGATGAAGTCCTACAGTAGTATGTTGTGGCCATCCACTTTCAAGTTCTGAGAACGGGTACTGTGCGAACTTACCCAAGGGAACCAGGGAACCAAAAAAAAAGAGAGGTGCAGATTCAAATCACCATGCGAAGGTGTGTGAAACACAAAGCAAAAGCAAAGTTCACTGCCTCTGCCGTTCTTCGAAGTTCTCAGATGCACAGACTTCCACAAAGATTCAAAGGAGCTTTTACATTATCCTGGATACTGTTTCTTCTTACTATCTTATGCCTCGCTTGGATTTGTGTCTCGGAACTGGGACCATCACGTCCACATGCCAACCGCACGTGCTTCGGCCGCCTGCGTCGGCGTCAGTGCTGGCGTCACTCCTGGCAGCACCATCGAATTGGTTGGGTCCATCGGCACAAAATGACAGAGGGGTGGAGTGGAGTGGGTATATGGGGCCTGGAGTTAAAGGATAGTATTTGCTTGGAAACGGAGTGACGTTTGAAAGGCCGTTGATTGAAAGGATTTGCACAGCTGTCTGCATCCGTCATAGCTGCGTCTATGGGTCAAACTTTGGAAAACTGAGTTCTTTGGCATGAAAAAGCACAACAAAATCATGCCATGCTTTCACCCCTTAACCGCATCATCATCCGCTTCACTGCCAAACACCCAGTGATGAAGTGATGAATGTGACACCTTGCTTCAACGTCGTTTGCTAATTGAAAGCACTTGAACTAACAAATACCCATAATTATATGTATGAAAACAAAAACACATGTGACAAGTTTGACCCATATGTCAATCATGCAAAATCATAGGTCTGCCAAACTTTCAACTTAGTTTCAAGGCAGCATCCAGCAACTACACAAACCTCCCAACCGTCGTAGTGGATGATGATGCAATCATATTCCACAAAGTTCTGTTGCCAAGCCCTCTGCCTCGCCCTGCCTTCGCCCAAAACCCTCATCTCCCAGGTCACCACCACCCCGAACACCAGCGCCGGGCGCACGGCCGCCCACAGCCACGGTGGTCGCCACAATGTTGGGGCGGGAGACATTGGCCGCCTGGTTGGTTGGGTCTGATTCACCAAGCACCGAGTCTACCTGGAGTCAAGGAGTCTACCTGGAGTGATTGTGCACACACAGCTTCTTGAGTCTTAAGAGCCTACCTAAAATCGTTTGGTGCATTTTTGCTGTCCTATTTTCTAGGGAACGAACTGAAGGGTTCAGCCTAAAGACCACCTCCCGAGGTTGGTTTGAAGGGTGGGAAACGGTTCTAAAGAACGGCCTTTTGCACATTGGCCCCTTGACCCAAATGTACTGATTGAAGCAAACAACAAGCCGGTTTGCCAGTTGGGTGCGAAGCACTGGGTCACTGGGTCCTCTAAAAAGACTTGTCCAATTGGATCAACTGAATCCGGTACCTAGCGCTTCCCAAAGGGTGTCCTGTCTGGAGACCTGTATAGTCATGTGGAGATATCCATTGGTGACCCCTTTGAAGCAGCTGGTAGATTGAATCGTGCTCCTAGCTGCCACCCCTCCAAGTGCTCTTTGCGATGCCTTTTGGGCTTTTTGGGGCAACTTTGGCCCCTCAGAAGCCTTCCGGCCGTTCGGCCTCTCGTAAGGTGAGCCAGATCAGCGGGGGTTCCTCTGCATCACTGCACCCCCCAAAGGGGAGCTGGAGCTTCACATGTCCACTCTCCTCACACTTCTCACCCAGTAAAACCTCCGGTGGCTCCAAACCATGAAACTGACCGTTACGAGTGCTCTCAGTCACAAGCAGCTGAAACTGAGACCCTTCCATCTGAATCGTGCCCTTGTATTCCTGTTCCCACAGGCTGCCATCTTCGAAGGGATCAGAGTCTTCCTTGTCTTCACTGTGGATGTTCTCTTCATCAATCCTCACAACAAAGTTTCCGTCCTCAAAACATGCGCTCACATGGGCATGAATAGCGATCTTCTTTCCAACTGGTCCAGGAGGTGCTTTGAAAAAACCACTGAGCGCCATGCGTCAATCGAGATCTTGGCAAAGAAACGCGAGTCAAGGGAATTTGAGCGCTTGAGCCGTTGGTTGTGTTTGCGTCAGGTTTGGCAACTCCACATACTTTTGACAAGATACACAACCAAGCCACTTTGATCTAAAATGGCACAAGTGGCGGTCAAACAGGTTGGCAACCCAAAACCACCGTGAACAAGCTTGATCCAAGGCACACACACAAATCATGTGACAAAAAAATGAAAACATGCCGTTTTCATTTCCAAACGCCGAGCTCTCACGAGCTCTAACATCCACGGTATCCCACGGTCGCTGCTTAGCTCTGCTTTTTCACCGCCGGGCGGTTCCCGAAATAGGGTGATCCAGGTGAAGTCGTCTTCCTTCAGTCCGAGCCGCCCAGATACTGGCAGGTGGAGTTTCAGCTCACTACCTGACCCGATTTTTGCGACCAAACCAATCAAAGAAATTCAACATGTTTGAAACAAAGACCTCGGCCCGGGCCCAAGGCCCTCGGTCAGTCTATGGCTGGGTCCGAATCGAATCCCTGGCGACCTACGATCCACTGGGTGAGGGAAGGTCGTCGGTGACTGGAGCCTTCCCAATCAGCTGGGCTCTGGAGAAATCCGCTGGGCCAGTGACCAGCGAGTTCCAATTTTGAGGCTCAAAAGGGTTGGAAATCTTTGGAACTCGCAGGTGAACTTGACCGTGCATGTGATCAGCCCTGTGAAGAATTCTTCCAGAAGAGCAGTTGCAAAAGCATGGCTTGATGATGTCTCGAGCATACCTTACATCCTTAGGTGAGGGGATGGGACCTGTGGGTAAAGCCAACATGCGATCAATTTATCAATTGATTATATTAAATAATTTCAAAACAACAACACAAACACTCCATGGGACTGCCATATATGCCTACATTGACCCCTCAACCCACCCGAACTGATCGGCATATGTGGCAGTCCCATTGGTCGTGTCTGGGATATCTTCATCATCATTCAACTATGACTGATCGCCAGAAGTTCCGGTCCGGAACCCACATGAATCAGTGCATGGACCTCCCAAAACCTCATACAAAGCAACTTAGACTCAAAGAACAAATATGATGGTGAGTAAAGACCTTTCCCCAAATCAGCATCAAAAGGTTACCGACTGTTACTGGTCTACTGGGACACACTCTGCTCCTAAATCAAACATAACTAAAAGTAACGCTCGATCCGCAACAAAAAAACTCCAAAGGCTTCGGTCAGCGACCATCTTCACAGAACTCTCCAGTCAGCACGCCATCGATGGATCGATGTCGCCCATCCGGAGGGACTGGACCCGACCACCGGTGCTCCGTGATGGTCATCTGAAAGCAGTCCACTTCAGCAGCAACAGTGCCATGATAGGAATGTTGAAAGCACATGGGCGGCTCGAAGGCGTCAGCAGAGAACATCGTCTCGTCTATAGTGATCCTGAGGCAGCAAAGAAACGTCTTTGTTTGAAGAGGCCGGCCGCTTGGATGGACATTTTTCTCTACAAACAGGTGTTTGTTTCCACTTGTGCAAATCTTTTAGGGAGTGTAACAATTCGAGCAGTACAACAAATTGGTTGATTGATCGATCCGGCCCGGTTGTTGCCCGAAGAGCATAGTAGCCTTCACGCAACCGACTTGAATGCAAGGGTCGAAGCCTTAAGCGACTGGCCGAGTACTGGACATACCTCAATTTCGGTTGGCCTTGGTCAACGGAGTCTGACTGGCCAGTGCAGATAAGACTCTCAAAGGACCCATCTTGTGCAAAGGACGCGCACACCGAAGCAGAAAGGCCCAGTCCCGATGCCGCGGAGGGTGCGCTGTTTCGAAAGAGGCCAATGGGAGCTGGTGAAAGAACTAGTGTAAGCTGGTGTCCATCAACCACTCCGTGATCACCCAAGATCCAGTTATCCAACAAGACATCAGTACCAAAGATCAAGCGCATGGCAGAACATGGCAGTTCCGAGCTGCCATCCATAAGAAGCTCTTGAAGCCTCTTCTTCAGTACCAGCACTGTATCAGAGGCCCAAAAACTCACCAGAATCTCTTCTCCATTTACTGTCAGTATTCGCAGGGTTCCACTCTCAGTTGGCTTCACAGGAAAAGTGGAGGCAACGTCCATGGTGACGGGCTTCGTTGAGTTCCACTTCATCCAATCCTGCTTAACCTCAACAGCGCCGGCCTGCCTCTACATGTCGTATGCCCCTTGCCGCTAACACGACTTGAAAAACGACATTATATAAAACTCACTATAATGAACTGTAAATTGATTTATTTGAGGAGAGATGAGGAGAGCCATTTTGTTCGTCCCATTTTCTGGGCCAGCAATGTCTTCAAGCCGAGTAAACCGTGTAACTTCGCAGGGTTTGCTACCTTGATTTCAAAGGACCAGACCAGAAGTCACCTGGAATCTACAAACAGGTCTGTGTTCTCTGTGGAGACAGGTCTGTCATCTTCTGCAACATCTGCAACTGTCAACTGTGGGCATCCCAAAAACTGACCCATAAAAGAAAGCGCCCCATGTCCTGAAAGCGCCAGACTTCCAGGTGAAAAGGTGGAACTCTATGTCAAAGCACATACAGGTCCCCAACAGAGGCCAAATCAGTGACCCGAAAAAGAACCTGTCACCTGGGGTACCCGAACTAGGGTCCTGAAAGTCCTCTGTTGGTAAAACCCATGGTACCAAGACTTCACAGTGCCAAGAACACACACAACTTCCGGTCCAGGTTCTTCAAGGTACCAGGAGTGAGTTCGAAGTACATAGTACATCAATGAACTAAGAGTTCATGGTTTCACCCATGGTGCACATATAAAACCTTCTCCACCTTCACCTCTACTACACCGGAGCATAGGAGAACACACATGCAGAAATACTTAGCGCATAACGCATGATAAGCATGTAACCTTCAGCGGAGTACCCGCAGAACGCTTTTGTTGCACATGATTTGAGAAGCTTCAAACAGGATTCACTGCGCCGCCGGGGAGTCGCCTGTCTTCGTCAGTTGAAGGGTAAGAACAGATTTTGCGTTCTTCCTTTCGTAGTGTGATCCATCTCAAGGGTTCTTCACCAGTGACACGGCTCAAACCAAAGGGCAACTGAAGTCTGACTGTTGCGTCATCGCACATCCTTAACTGAGCCACAAAGAATATAAAGTCAAATCTTGATGGATAAAGGCTAATATGTTATATGCAGCAATTTCACGGCTATATAGTCGGCAAAACCCTCCAGTGATTTGTTGATCCTCAGCCACAAGAGCTCTAGGGCTGTGCTCAATATACTCTGAATTCACTGAAGTTGATGGAAAAAAGTGGTCTAAAGTAAAATTAACATCCAGAACCACCCAAAGGGTGGTTTATAGACCCCCCTGAAGATGTATTTTCCATCTAATAACCACTCCTTGGGTGGTGCTGGATTGAAAGGTTTCATTTGGCAAAGAATCTCGCCAAGCAAGACACCAGGCTCTGGGATTGAGTCGAACAAGCCCAAGCGATGACTGCTCTCGACTACAATGCACAATTGAGACCCGGTAACTTCCACCGGACCATTGTACCAATGTTCCCATTTGGATCCATTAAGGTATGGGTCATACTCGTCATACTCATCTTCTATGTCAATCGAAATCATGTCTTCCTCTACGATGCTGATGCAACAATCACCCTCTTGCGCAAATGATGCGGTCGCCAGAGTCCATGTATCCGGATCATCCGTCTCCAGAACGCAGTCAAATTTCCCCAAAGGCGCGTGTGAAAAGACCAGCGTCAGCTGGTCTCCATCAACCACTCCGTGATCACCCAAGACCCAGTTATCCAACAAAACATCAGTATCAAAGATCAATCGCATGGCAGAACATGGTGGCGTCAGCTCCTTGCCAGTCACAAGCTCCGGCTCGCTGCCCGTCACAAGAAGCTCTCTAAGCCTCCTCTTGAGTGCGAGCACTGTATCAGTGTCTCCAAAACTCAACAAAGTTTCTTCTCCATTACTACGCAGGATTCGAAGCGTGCCCAGGATTCGAATTGGGCTCTCAGACTTGCTCCAGAACATAATTCGCCAATGGCTGCGAGCCAGAAATACATCTCTCGAAGCAAAAAACAATCCGTTCACGGCATAGACATGAAGAGCTTGGCGTGTTTTCACCTGACGAACACATCGACTTGGAAGTGGATGGCGTCTTTTCACGCCTGTTGGATGATCAGAATTCCGAAGACCAAACAGGTGGTGAATGGTGGTGAATTCCACCATGTTAGCGAGTCAGTTGGATATACCTGCTTTTGTCTATCCAAGACGAGCCTCATTGGTCCTTTCGCCCAACGGGATGGAACACCCACGAACAAGACTAACCAGACCCCAAAACAGGCGAACCAAATGATACTTTGATAGCATAATAAATGGTCTGGTTATCAAGCTTTGGTTCGACAAATGGTAGGCTTATCAAGCTTTGCGAAAGCATTGGTCCTTTCTGGTACATAATTGTACCATAAGCATCTTATCAAGCTTTGCCAAAAATGGTCCTTGGCATTGGTTCGACAGGAGTTCCAACAACATATTATTGACGAGATCCGACCCAGAGATGATGCTTGTCAATAATCCTCTGAATGTTGAAAGCAAATAATTGGGTTGCCTCCAACTGATCCAATTGGGGCTCTTCAGGGCTTTCAATCAATTGAATCCAAGATATCAAGCGACAATAGTCATACTATGTCCTACTTGTACATGACCTTGACAGTGAGCTTCCTGTTGCTCAAGGTGCCCTTAATTGATATAGAATGAACATATGAACGTATTTGGATGTCGTATGGCCACGACGCAAGCTACCACCACAGTTGCTAGGCAATGTGCCTGCAGTTCAGTTCAATCTGATTTGTGGGAACGTCGAACGACCAGGCCGATGAACACTTCGAAAACATGTTCACATGGGTTTGGGAGTCTACAGTGTTAATGACTCGGTCACCTAGAAAGCCGCGAACCCCCCAGGGAAACTAAAAAGATCTAAAAAGACTCCGCCTTCGAATTCTCCACTCATCTGCAATTCCTGTATATCGCCATCGACCTAAGCCTCTGAATACTTCGCGCCTGTCGTAAGGCTTCACTTGCCAGCAACTGGACCTGCACGTTTCTCACGTTTCTGGGTGCATCTGGCGTCAGATGATGGAGGTCTTTTGGGGGAACCGCAGGTGAGACATGGTGAGACCACTTGGACCTGACTTCGTTCGTACGAACGAAAACATGGGACCCCATTACCCGAAAAAACAAAGACAGCTGTACAACTGGGACGTTTGGAGGGACGACCGGGTCAGTGGCAACTGCACCTACACCTACAAACATGTTGTTCGACAAAAACATTTTTACCGGAGCGGACACTGAAAGTTATAGTTGTAAACAAACAAACAGTTTTTTTTTTTTTTCTGTGCTCCAGCGTTTTGTGGGTGACACATCTTGGTGAGCGTCGTAATTCCTTGTAGACCACACGGATTGTTTCATCAAACACCAGAAAACAATCAAACTCACTACAACAAGAACAATGTGACACGGCGCAGTTTCGCGCGGGTTCACGTCGCTGCGTTGAAACATGTTGTCAGTGACAAAACAAGTGTTTATCTCGTGGCCGAGGATTGTGGCTTGAAGTCTGCTTGATGCACATTTTTCTTTCACGAGACAAGGTGAGGCTCTGATGTCTGTTCTCCAACCTCTTGGGTTGGCCCATTTGCTGAAACCGAGGTGTTTCTCGTGCTCGCCTTCTTTTCCCTACGAGCTTCGCAGTCGCAGTCGCCATCGGGACCGTGAACTCACCGGGTCGAATGCATGTGATCTTGACCAGGAGCTTCTTGCTCCGTTGATGTTGGCATTTGTAAGGTACTGTATATTTACAGTAGTTACTCATTTAGTTATATATATATTATATCATTAAGATAATAGTTTTAACATATAGTGGAGACAACAGTGTCTTTGTGAATCAATTAAATGACATAAATAAATAAATCTATATATATATATGAATATTTAAAATATAGAGCATTCCAAAGAGTGAGTACCCTATACATGTTTTTTGGTTGTTCGAAACACAGTGGAATTTTGCTGCAGACATACGTAAAACGCAAAGGATGCACATAGCATCGCCAAACACATTATCACAATAAGAATAACAACAAAAACATCGTCTTGAAAACAGTGCGACATAACGTATGCACTATATTTACAGCATTCTCTGTCCTTCACTGATGTGCAGCACACAGTTTTACTGCAAGAAGAATCATCAACACCAACTATTAAAAACATTAATAACACCATGTTAATTTTAGGCAGCCCCAAACCCACATGTGTTGGGGCTCCCGTCCCATCGCACCTCTGTCGGAGGCATGCCAGTCGAAGCCTTTGCAGGCGATGCCCACCAGTGAGTTGGACGTGGCATCCTCTTAGTGTGTGTTGGTGGTTTCAACTCACTTGAACGATTCATCAGAGGGCTCAGTCTTCTCAAGAAAAGCTTTAACATAAAATGTCAGACACCATCAGCCAGGATGTGTTTGTTTTTGTCAGTTTAAGATGCTTTCCAGTTTGGAAACCACGAGGTTGGAATCTATGCTGAAGGCCCTTTTGCCACCTGCTGGTCGATTGGTAACTAGACACATGGGGGTTAGGCATTATATACCGACAGTCTTGATGGACTCAAAGAGGACACTTCCAAAACAATATCTGAAGCCGGCTGTTGGTTTGTTGTGTCTATGTCGCAAACATATACCCCAAATCAAATGCTCCACCCAACAAACCGTGCCTTTCAACCACCTGAGAATCAGCAGAACCCCGAGGTTGTATTCTTTTTTTTCAGCTGCAACTTGAACCTGCAGGAACAAAACTCCAACTCGCCCCCTATCCAAACCTCACTTTACTATACTCACCCCGCAGGTTCCCTGCGTCCCAAGCTCTTTGCCTGCCAAATAAATGTGGTTGACTTAACATACGTACGGAAGCTTCCTCACCATCTTCACCTTCACCTGTTCTTGTCTTAATGAAAGAACATTTCCCCAAGTAAATAGGTTTCTGCAGCTTCTCCACGTACTTCCTGACGTTCCGATTCCACGTCCCCATGTGCCCTTCGTCCCCTAAGCTCGGGGCCACGGGCGCCAGGAACTCCAAAGTCTGAAGCTCCATGGAGAGCC